TCTGATCAACATTCCCAGCACAAGGGTGAAGTGTGGAGGGTTCTCATCAATCCCGCTCAAAAGGGCACACCACAATACCTCTAAATAGGCACGGTAAAAGTTGTGACAGTGAAGGTGTGATAGGAGGATAAAGGAAATGTCAATAGTCCAGGGTAGAAGGGGAGAAACCACAACTGTTTAGCACACGTTTGGTCATAGGATCGGCTTACTTGTCTCGTTGACGAGTTGTTGAATGGTGCTAAGAATGGCGGACCCATTGACGATACCGATTACGATGCCAGCGAACTTTCTGGGAATATACCACGTCCAAGGTCCGACTTTGGAAATGATGATGCATACTATGGACTCCAGGCTAGGTGCGTTCCTCTAAGTCTTCCTACCAATATGTGCGAGTTGCGAAAACGAGGTCAAACAACCTCTACATTACTTATTTTTCGTTTTAGCCCTATCCTTAACCTCCTTAATGAAATTGGGTGACTACATCTACAGGAAGCCTCGATAGCTTACTTATAAAATCGCTATAGCAAATACCATTTTGCTTCATCGACAATCTCATCATAGAAGGTGATATTGGAAATTGTCTGTCCGCATTTGAAGGTCCCATCTGCTAGTTTTCTCAAGTCCATTCGTGACAACATTGCGTAGTGGCTACTCTGTCTAAATTATACGCTGAACTGTGATGGTTCGAGTCTCGCTAGGAGTGTTGATTAGCTCTAGGCGAGGTCGAAGCAGCAGTCCATCCTGGATGCGAATAACTTTTGCGATGCAAGGATATGAGAACTCAATGAAAACGTAAGGTCTGCTCTTAGTGTTGTGGCAAAATTTAACAATCAGCCCTTCATCACTTTATGCGATCTAGGATGAATATGGTTCTCATTCAAACTCTTTGATCCACCATAGCTCCATAGTGATCATGTTGTGCATATGCTACATACGCAAATGAAGTACCCACCAGCGTAACTTTGAAGAGTCTGTGGAAGTAGCAAATCAATTCGACTGTACTTGTGCCAAGAATGGTAGAAAAAACAAAAATTCCAGTAATCAGATAAATGAAGGAGGACAAAAAGTAGAAGAAAGAAGATCTTATTAGCATAGGCTCATTGAGCTCATGGGAAGGTGAGCCGATGATCTGCCTGCACAATCCAACCGTCTTCATTACACTCCAAGGCCATCTTCCTTCGTTCTACCGTAAGACCATTTCCTGAATTCCTTCCAGGCAATTTTTCCAATAAAAGTAAAATTCGAATCCCTTCGCCTTCGGTTTCCGGCGAGATGGTTTGGCGAATACATTCCAACAAACCTTTCCTTCGATCTGAAAAGTAGATTTGAGCAAAGGCAGTCCATATTCGGTTACCAATGAGTCCAATTTATGCTTTCTTTTTAATCAACTTTTACTTCACTTCAGATCTGTTTGGATGCTTAGCGTTGGCAGATTGAATGTGATGGTAAAAGATCCCTTTTCAGTTTCACGATACCGAAACTGGCATACACCAAGTGAGTACCCTCATACTCCACTCTGGCGGTTCGGTAGAAAAAACATGCTACTTGACCGTTATTCTGCTGAGGATATTAGAAAAAGCAGACCTTTCCAAAACTTAACAAATAAAGAGGAGGTATTGCAAGGACGAGACCAAGAATGACATGACAAACGAAGATGAAATGTCCTTAAATAGAGCATGAGAGGGTGAATGGAAATGTGATTAAAAAGACGAATGGTAACTGCACCTTCAGACTTCGTGGCGACCTGCGGGTCGCGAGCTCAGAAGCCGCCGAGAGGCTGGTCAAAGCGGCCAGGGCCGAGAGCGTGTCCGTCGGCGCGGCAGACAGATTGACCTGTCGCCTCAATGGGCCCGGGTTCGAGCCCGGTCTCAGCAGCGGTGTCGACGTCGAGTCGGCCACCGACTCCAGGACTCCAGTTCGCCGAGTTGCCGGCGTCGTTGGCAGTTGTCCACACGACCGACTCGAGATGACCGCCGTCCGACCGGCTTTTGTCGCCAGCATCGGACCGAACCGCGAGCCCAACTCCGAGTCCGTCTTCCGGACGGAAGGAGTTCGACTCCCTGCGGTGCTGTCGTTGTTGGCGGCAACAGCCGCGTTGGCTGCCCGTACGAGGAGGTTGATGTGGCGGTCGGTCGACTGGTCGGCCACCGCGTCAGTCGCGAACGTCTCAGTCTTTCTGGGAGTCGTCAAGCCTACGGCCAGATTGGACATCGCGACTTGTCGGTCGGCCGAGACCGTCGCCGGGTTGCGGCTGCCAAACAGGGCGTCCTCGAACAGAGGGCAGATAGAGCTGGCGGGATTGGCACGTTTCGCAAGGGACGAGCGGGTCAGAGCTTGAGACCCGGCCTGGCCGGCTCCCCGAGACCGGTTGACTTGAAGTGGCTTTGGCGCCGGGAGGCCGAATGAAGAAGGTCCGGCGGGTGTGATTCTGCGCAAACCGACCTCGGTCTCCTGCGTCGGCAGGTCACCGGCGCAGGTCAAAGCGACGGGTTCGAGTCCGCCGAGTCCGCTGTACGAAGCAGGGTCATTCGTGGCTTCACGGAGTGGCTGGCAAACGCGAGTCTGACCAGCGTCATGGCAACTGGCCGGCATGACGATGCGTTGCTGCTCACTCGCCCGATCCGAGGCTGGGCTGCCAGCGTCTCCGCCGGCCGGGGCAGACGATTCGTACCGCATCGGGAGCCGGCCAGTCAGGCCGCCGTGGGACGGTGAGGAGGAGAGCGATGACCACCCATCGGCGCCATTCGCATCCGAGCCGTTGGGGAGGCAGGGAGTGAAGAGATGAGGAGCGGGTGCTAAGAGAACGGCCGAGAAGGGAAATGCCAACATGAAGGATATTTGTTGGGGGTACTTTCATTTGGTATGAAGGCACATGAAGAAGAGATTCGTAGGTCAATCTCACCTGAACAGGACGGATGAATCCCATTGTGCTGCAACCTTTTGGCTTCTGTACGATGGGCATGTTGGCGCAGTCTACTTATCTATTTAAGTAATTTATTTTTATTTTGGCTTAATTGAGTCTATATAAGAGGTAAGATAGTGTTTATATGAGACTTTTGTAGGAATGAGACCCGAAACGAGAGAGAAGGTCTCGTGGACTGCGTCAAACTGAACGTCGTACAGAAGCCAAATGGCTACAGTACAACCAGATTCATCCGTCCTCTTCTGGTGAGATCGACCAACGAACATCTTCTTCATGCACTTCCATACGAAATGAAAGTCGTCCCGACAATGCTATATCGGTAGATTCAACAAAACCCAGTTTCTATTCGCATCTGCAATGAATGTTAATTGCATTTCTGGCATAAAGAACAAAGGAAACGCCGGACGACAGTCGAAGTGATTACAATCGGGTGCTATTCCGTCATAGGGCGAATGTGCTCTCAAAGAAAACTGAGGTCGCTATGTAAAGTTTATTCACCATAAGATATGAAAACCAAAAAGTTGTTGCCTCCGGTATGGTCACAGTGTCTTTTTGATTTATAGAAGTGGGTTGACTTCGTTATCGCAACTTGGCCTTGTTGTCAGGGCGACTTATTAGAACGCAACTAGTCCCAAGTCGTCTGGTAATCATGACAACTACTATTGCAGACGACTTCGGACTAGGAGCGTTCTACTAAGGCTGCCTGACAACAAGACCAAGTTGCGACGACGATGTCAACCGACTTCTATATTCACCATATTTGATTTAAGATGATGCATGATTATTAGTTGAATTGTCCCACAATGCTATGAGCAGACCTTACTTCTCCATTGAAGTTAGCATCCATCCCATCAGCAGCCCCAGCGGGACTTGAACCTCGGCAATGAAGCATTTAACCTCAACGAGTTGACCATCATGTCACACTAGCACGAGCGACTTTGGGTCACAGGAGGGACATGAAATTCACAAAACGCCAGGCCATATGCATATCACATTTTTAAGGTGGGATTTTCGATAGGTACAATTCTATTTGCGGCGGCTACGTGTCTACCTCGCAACTGCTACAGGGCATGGAAGCAATATCTTCAGCCCTTATTTACTTGACTGCTAAACCAATCTCGCGATAACCGTCAAGACGAAGTGAAAATCACTTTTAAATAGGGACTCATCGCGAATCTACCGACTTATTAGCTCGTCTGCTAGCCGGTTTCATGTTGACTCATCCCAATGCTTTGATGCAGTGTATGCCAATTTGAAAGATGAAGTAACTGAGCAGAAGACCTCATGATGAATGCAGCCTGGATCTAACTTGTCTCTTCGACAGGATAGTAAACCAAGCCGTGCACGTGAAGCTGTAAGCTCAACACAGCAGCCCAGCAATTGGGTCTCAGAGAGTGGATTTGATTGGTTAGGAGTGCTCCACACTCCATTGTGGCAAATCTATCTCTCAGTCGAAATAGCAATAGGTGTAGACACGAAGAAAAACTGGGTTTCGATCAATCTGCTGAGATAACATTGTTGGGGTGACTTTCATTTAGTATGAGAGTGCAATAAATAGCAATAGAAACAATCTAAGTGGGAAACCCACATATCAATTGAAGTGGTCTCACCCAGTTTACGTAACTTGTCTTGGACGCGTCTTGAGCAAAGTCGTCTACTATCGTTGGTATCATAATTCTCAGCGTCGGATCGTGGACTTGGTACATTCCCAGACGTTTCGCCGGCATCGTAGTCAGAGAATCTTGCCATTTTCAGCATCAAACTAGAACTCGTCAAAGAGATAAGTGAAGTCAATTCCTTGACCCAAGAGTTGTAGCTTGGAGTTGAGAATGACAAGAATCACTGACGATGCTGACTAACTGTATTGGAATGTGCGAAGTCCAAGGTGCAACCATGGGAAGTATGATAACTATTGCTATGAAGGCTTTCCTTTCGCA